TTTATATACTGTAAATTTAAAATACCATAATTTTAATTTTATTATAAATTTATCTTAAACTTACTCCAATATTTTGCGCCAAATGGAGAACATTTTATTGGTGTATTTGCTTCATATGTTATAGCACCAGGAGCCGAGTTAACTTATGACTATAACTTCTCCACATTTGGCGGCGCTCAAGAGCAAGAATGCTTTTGTGGGGCACCTAACTGTCGTGGTTTGATAGGTGGAAAACATCGATCGACAAGTATAAATGCGCGTGAATAACTAACTAATAAGTACTGTATATAATGAACCAAGGTTAATTCTTTTTTAAAAAAAAAAGTCATTCAATTTATTGGTGAAGCCACGACAACAGTTATTTTTTCTTTTAGCTACAAAATGTTGCAATTATAACCGTGCCCTTGAAAAAAGATGGTTCCTCTGGAACGATTTACATTCTTCATTAAGTGAAGGGTAAAAATGTGGCAAGGAATTTAAATTGTCATTTATTCAAATTTTGGATTTTTTTTAAAAAAATGTAAATTTTCAGCACGCAAATCAATAAAAAATAACCGATGAACCGTTGGGGTGTTCTATATCGGTCTAATTACAAATTAAAATTTTTTATAATCAACGATAGTTTAATGGTAAAAACATTTTTGAACCAGCGAATCCGCATAAATAAAATTTATTTGTCAAGTTGTCATTTTTTTATGGGAACCAAACTACCCCAGTATCGCCACCAAAAAAAACACAGTCACGTGATATTTTTGTGGCGCAAACCAATGAGATTTCAAGATCAGGTGTAACGTTACACGACCAGGAAAAATCAAAACGATCGTTTTGCCAAAAATCGCCCATAACTCAACTAACAAAAAAATTTCCTTGAGCGATTTTACTAATATATCCCCACTATTATCTAACTATAGTATAACACTAATCCTAACCTTAACGAGTTTTAACAATTATTATCGTTATCACGTGACTGTGTTTTTTTGGTGGCGATACTGGGGAAGATTATTTCCACATGCTTTTTCACATGACTTTCAGTTACATAAACATGACGAACATATTGTCATGAAAATTTACGTCAAATTGTGGTAAATTTTCATGGTGTTCCCTTTTTATTTTTATTGTTTGGAACATAGCGGAGGACTCGATTTCCGTGTAAAATAATCGTTTTTGGTGCATTTTTAATAAAAATAGCAAAAACGTAACTTTGAATTTTTTTTACGTTTTTGATAATTTTATTAAAAATATATCAAGAACGATTATTTTGCACGGAAATTGAGACCTCCAATCAATAAAAATAACTAGCTCTCAGGCCCGGGTAGGGTTGTTAATGGAATAGCTTACTCCGGAGCACTCCGGAGTAGAACCCAAGGAGTGGGTTAAAATTGTCTTTAAATTTGGAGCAAAATATTGGAGTAAGTTTAAGATAAATTTATAATAAAATTAAAATTATGGTATTTTAAATTTACAGTATATAAA